CCTAGCTATATATAAAAAATTGTATTTAAGACTTGTATCTTTTGGCCAAGATCAGAAGTACGTACCACAAAACCCTATAAACATGTATATACATACATATATATGTTTGTACTGTCAAGAGCAAATTAATTAAAGTTTTTTGCAGTTCGAATTTCATTTGCTCTCCAAAGTAGCGGAAGTCAATGATTACGTGTCGACATTTACTAACAAAACAGTTATGGTAACACGTACAACGTTGAATCTCTGCCTACTCCTTACATCTTGACAGGGAAACATTCCCAAAAAACATACCAACAAAGTAGGTAAATGAAATCTACAAATAGATCTTCACCGGCTTGTGTGAAGAACAGTTGCCCCACCCAAAACAGACTTTTACTTACCTAAATCTTCCATTGTTATTATTGTTGAACGGAATTGCCAAAAACGAAGCTTCACAGAACCAATTGGCAAAACTTTAAAAATAATATACACCTCACTTCGCACAAACACAAAAATTTTGCAAAACAATATGAACTTTGTTGCCCAACAGAGTAAAGGTAGATTTAATTTTTTGTTATGAATAACTATTTGCAAACACAGTTACACTTCAAAAATAATTTCATGACCAATTGTTGACGACAGAGTCAAAATCAAGTTTAGTCACAATGAAACAATACTTCACAAACTCCAGTTGTTCCAATTGACGACACTATAAATTCGCGACGAAATGAGACGAGGTTTAGTGATGGACTAAATAATCGATAGCTTATACCGATTATTTATTCGCGTGTACTAAATATTTTTTTACTTATCTGTTAGGAATTATTAATTCACATAATTTCATGGACCACACATAAAATGTAAAGTAAACAGAAAAGCGTATACAATTCTATTTATAGACTGCTATATGTTCCGATAATTCAGCGTGTAGCAAAACGATTCAAATGATTCTCCGCGCCATCTATGTTCTATTAGCTCTGTGATGGAATGTAAGTATAGTTGTTTAATTAAATCAGCTGATGCACAGTGGTGGATGCACCATGGAACGGAATATTTCTTATGAGTTTACGTTTTTCGGAAACAACGTAACCAATTAAGAACGGTTCCCAACAAGAACAGTATGGCTTATAAAAACCTTCAAATAAACCATACGACTTAAAGATGGTATCCCTTATCGATAAACTTTCCTTTATATTGTAAAGTGGGTTGGGGATAAAACTAAGCGGTACGCTACTGTAAGTGTGAGGTTTTTACTCACTTTTTCGTATTGACAATCTCTTACAAATATACTACATCTACAAGGCCTTAAAAGATCTAAGATTTCGTAGTTTGTGATTTTGAGTTAGTTTCGTATCTAGTCATCTTTGATGTAGTGTAGTGTCATCTTTGGTATAGTCTTGTTGAAAGTAGACGTTGTCCAGATCAATACCACCCGAATTTGTTCATAAAAAATCATTAAGAAATAGTAAAGTTCAATAACCCTGCCGGGGCATAAAGCGCTTCAAGCAGTTACATGTTGAGGATGGAGAGGTTTTTCAACAACAAATCTATGGTTTTCCGAGCCCAAGTTTTGCCCTAGATTTGGAAATAGCCCTCATCAGTCAAAATTATTTTCCGATTATATTTTTATAGTTAAACTTTAAAATTTCAATACGTCGTTTAATCGTATATCGTTAAATGTTGTTGTTGAAGTAGCGGTTCGCTAACCCCGTTCACTAATATAAGTCGCCGAGGTCATCTGGGAGGTCCAGGAAAAGAGCTGTTTCGACGGGATTGAGGGGGTTAGATTGTCTAGTTCGTCCCCGGCGCCCAGATCAGTGCAGCAAAGCTAACGACCGGCCAGCGAATTGCTTTATAAGTAGCCAGCAAAGTTTCTTTGTCTTTACCCCAGGTGCTGCCGGTTAGCGCTTTGAGTATTTTGTTGCGGCTCTGGAGTTTTGCGGCAATTGCGATCGTATGCGGAGTGAAGGAGTGCAGGCTGTCTAGTGTCACTCCCAATATCTGTGGGTTGTTTACAATTGCAATTTTTTCGTCATCGACCTTCACATCTAGTTCAAGCCTGTATTTCTTCGTCCAGCTGGTGAAGAGGGTAAGCGAGGATTTGGTCAGCTGTATTTTCAATTGTCGTGCAATGAAAAAGTAAGAAAGATCAGCAAGGTAGCAGTTTACTTTCGAACATAGGTCATCAATATCCTGAACAGACGCCATTATTGTGCAATCATCGGCATACGAGGTTTGGGAAACTCCTTCTGATGGAAGAGGGAGTTTCGAAATGTAAACAGCAGCGGGGAGAGGACTCCACCTTGCATAACACCCTGTTTAAAGCAGCAGGCCTCCAGTATCTTCGCTATTGGCGAGAGGAGAGTTATCGGCCGATAGAACTCTCCTTTATTGGCTGGTTTCTACCCTGCAAGCTTTCCACTCGTCAGGTATCATTAGGGTGGTGAAAGACAAATTGAGGACTTTGGTGAGAAATTCTGCTCCAGCTGGTCCGAGATGCTTTAGCATCAGCATGCTTATTCAGCATGCTTATTCCGATGGATTTTGAGGCTTTAGCCTTACCGATGACCCCCTGAACCTCTTCCCTGGAGAAATCAAGCACCGCGCTGGTATTTGGCAGTTTGCGCTCTGTCCACCGAAGAATACAATGTAAAAAGTCGGCTAAAATAGTTCGCGCATCTCTTCGGGTCTGAAAAGGCACCATCACATAATAAAAATTTCCACCCGGCCATCACGTCTCGTCGGTCTTGACTTGACTGTAGCTTAGAGCTTGGTTGCCCTGCCGGGATGAAGCACGTAGTAGCGGTCACGACGACCCTGCGGAAAAAACGTTCACCAGTAGTGACGTCTGGTAGGGTGGGGAGAGTACTTAAGTTGTTCTCGGTGAATTCCGTGCAGCCGGACAAGTCAGCTTTTTTAAAGTTGACAAATGTGAGGTGAGCCGCGGAAACAAAGTCAGGAGGCCTATCAATCGAGATTTGGATGGGTAAGTGGCCCGATGCTAGTGTTAGTACAGGTCGCCATACTATACTGTTTATCAGACCAGCTCTCGCAATTGGTATATCCGGCGAGCTTTGGCAATTACCCATAACTCTGGTGGGAGTGTTATCGTTTATTGTGCAAAATGTCGAATCGTCTACCTGTTCTGCCAGCTCCATTCCTCTACGGTCGTTTGACAGGCTAGAATGCCAAAGATCGTGATGCGCGTTAAAGTCGCCCAAAAACCAAACGGTGTTCGCGTCTGAGTAGCGCCCCTATATCAGGGCTGTTTCCAACTGGGGAACTTGTAATAGGAGGAATGTATATATTCCATATCTCAAACTCGGCATCGCCTGGCCGTATAGCCATGCTAAGGTAGTATCCCTGTGGTGATGAGGGAGTGATGCGTGGGTTCGTTGCTGCTGTAATGCCCGCTGATGTTGGTTGGCAGTATGTTTGTCAAAGACTCCTACAGCACGGGGCAACATATGCATCGCTCTACTCAAGAGTGGTGCGCAGGCCAGAGCACTACGGAAAATGACACCAGCCAGAGCAAGAGTTGTATCTGACTGAGGTCATGTTCCGACGCACTAACGTCTGACCCCGAGCAAACTGTGCAGGGGGCTAGGAGCTGCTGGGTAGCCCTAGCACGGAAGAAGGATGAGGAGCTGGTTGTAGGTGGGGATGGGGGTGAAGGTTGGTGCGAGTCATGCTGCGGGGAGCTCCGTGAGGCCGTAAAGGTCTGTTGGTTTTCCCAAAGTGGGTCAAGGTGCCGAAGGCGCTGCCGTGGAGGCTGGGGGTACGCTTGGGCGCTGGCAGAATGGTGCCACTTAACTTGGGGTCCACTCCCTATGGGTCTTAAGGTCTGATCAGACCTTGAGATGACTCCAACCATTGCACTGGTTGCATCTAACCGCGGTGGAGGAGTGGTGGAGTCCTTACTGGCAAATGTAGCAGAAGTAATCCGTCGGATCAGGGTTGGTTTCGACGCCAACCGTGAGAAGTAGGATTTGAAGCAACCCAACTGCGAGATGTTGATCCGTTGGCGAACTTAAATTAATGTTTCCTGTTGACCCAAAGGGGGTTAGGTCACCGAAAGGGTGACAGCCCTTGGCCGGATAAAATCCGGGTCTACCACGGTACGTAGAATGTCTAAAAATTACAGTTTCAAGGTGATATCTACCGGAATAGCAAGCTACTCAAAATAGTTACGTTCCTTGAGTCAAAAACTCAGTAAAAATAAGAAGAGATTGCAATTTTGACCTTTAGTTTGGAGAGAAAGTTGTAAATTCCTACTGGGGATTTCTCACTTTCACAAAGAAAGAAATTTATTGAGTTTTCACCGAACAGATTCAACTTGCGTTGTACAAGAAATAATAATCTTAATAAAAAAAGGAATGTTTGTTTGTCAGTGACGCTCGAGAACGGCTTAACCAAACGTGATGAGATTTTACGAGGTTGTTTGTAGTGAATCTGGGAAAGTTTAGAAGTTTCCTGAGGAAGTCTTAAAATTGGTCAATTGTTGAGTGTGTACACCTAACCTCGTTTGTATTGGAATTTATTTGTGTTACTTCTTCAGCTGATTTGTAAATTATTTGAATCATTCAAATTGGGTACTTTGCCCTCTTCATAGGGACAACTAAACAAAAGAAACTTAGCAGAAGTTTCCTGGCGGTAACTTGTAAATTGTTTACCGACTTTTTTTTTTTTTTTTTTTTTTTTTTTTTTTTTTTTTTTTTTTTTTTTTTTTGAATAAGCAGAACATAATTAGAAATATGGAATGATCGGAAAAAATGTTATACTCGCCACTCAGATACGATTGAAGCTACTTATATAGAAAAATTGATTGATTGTTTGCAATCAATTGCAGAATTATTCCGTAGTATTGTCGTAAAAGTTTAGCAAAAAATGATATTCACATGTTCATATACATATACATATACATAAGACGTAACGTAATTAAATTAAGATTTTTTATTTTTTATTTACTTCCTTTTGGCTGATGTGCATATATATATATATATAATTGAAAACAAACCATATTACACTTAACAATTACGCAAAAAGCATACAATATATTTAATGAGTTAATATCAGTATAACAAAGATAAGATAATAAACAGAAAGCAGGTTATACATGGTAAAATGAACAAAGGGATACGCTCCACAAAAATAGTAACTAATTATTTTTTTTTTAATAAATTGGACTCCCCCACTTTGTAAGTGAAAATTTAATATATTTAAAAACCAGATTGCTAAATCTACTAATTTACTAATCTTATATACAGACGCTCTTATAAATAAACATTTAAAAGTAATATTTATAAATCAGACATACATAAATAGAGAGATTATTAAAAAAAACAAGCCGGAGAAAATTTTGATCAAATGGTCGGCGCCACGTCATCTTCAAAACGGTTCTTACATTTTTAGTGCCTTGTTTCCAATGCTTGAAATTGGTCGGGTATTCGAAAGCAAGAAAGCACAAATTTCTTTGATTTTAGCTCGATTCGACAGGTATAAAAACAAGCAGATATGAATAAATCGAATTTAATGCTTCCATATATTATTATTCTCTGCTGTTACAAATATTTCTTAGTGAACAATATTTCTGGTATTTTTTAAATCACTTTAACACACCTTAAATGACTTTCTAAAATAAAATTTGAGATTAATTGATAGAGGTTTGTAAAGCTCAGTATTCAACTTTTCAAATTTATTTCTTATATGCGAAATCAAGTGGTTATAAGCACATTTAATTAATAAAATATAACTCATCACTGCGCCGACCAAATAAATTGAGCGATTTTTTTTAAAGATTTTTAGCACTATGTAGCTCTTGCCACATTTGTAATGCTCTTTTTTTTTAATTATCTTTGAGCTGAAAAAAGACACCATGTCCACACAGTACTGGATATATTGAGGTTTGCTTTTAAGGTTGTTAAATGCTTACAATATTGGTATAAATGATATAAGGCTACAATATTTAATTGATATCAAGTTTGTTAAAAAACGTATTTGATCAAGCTAATTGAAAACTAAACAAATATGTACATATGTACTACATTTAAAATATGTCTACATACTGTATTTTATGCCATTTAAAATCACGAATAAGCGCAGTTAGATATTTTAAAGTGTTTATCGCATCGAAAACGGTGAAGCATTGTTAAGTAATTTTCCTTGAATATCAGTTTTGAAAATTGTTGTCCATAGTTACCAGAAGTCCATTGATTAATTTTGAGAATTACCGAATACCATACCACATATATGTATGTAACTGTTGCCGGTTCATCGACTCAAGTGCATGTGCACGTTTGTATAAATAACATGGAATGTGTACACAAACATACATACATACATAGAGTGTAAAATTTTCAATTTTTCGGTTTGCAAATCACCACATATTTGACTAAAGTTTTCAAATTTAGACTTATTTCAGCAAATTTATCACAACATTAAACAGTTATACTAATATTCACTAAAAAAACATCGATATGGTTTGCATATTAAGATTTTGTACATATAAATTTTATCAGCTTACGATTTTCATACTCTAATTTGATTTAAAAAAAAAAATATTTAAAAAATTTAAAAACACTTAATATATTTCGTAAAATATTTAAAAGTATTTAAAAAAGTATATTTTAAAAGTTTGATTGAGTTTGGCAGCTTCTCCACGTTTTATTGCCACCAAGAAAAAACTTGAGCAAGCAACATGCTTCCACATAGCCTCATATTGAGTTCTTTATAAAATATTAAGAGAACACATTTAAAAAAGAATAAAATAATGTACAGTTAAATGCATATAAAATTCCATGTGTACATATACATATAATTTCATAAAACTCCACTTAAGTAATTTATTCGTCACATTGCGTGTAAAATTCCTATAAATTTTCGTATAAAATTTCATTTTTTGTTTGTTCGTGCTGAACTACAAAGTGTGAATTGCCGTTAAATGATTGCAAATATTTATTTTTTTGTTTTATAAATATGATTAGTATACTTATGTGCTTAAAAGTGTAAATTCATATTAAATTGTTCATGTCAACTATTTTAGTCATTAGATATTCAATGCATTATAAAATTGATATTAGCAACTGATACACAAAGGACTAAAGCGACCTCTGCATAGCAGAAAATTTCAGTCCCTGTATGTCATAGTATGCATTTAAGTATATGCTAACGTTTTTATTTAATAAGTGATTTACATATATACTTGTGTTTAACTACTATAACACCATACGTGTTCAAGTTTTATGATGTCTTTTCATCACAATACATTGGTGAAATTAGAATTAAAATAAATTCTCTGCTACCACATATTATGTATATTATATGTATGGGTGTATGTGTGTGAGTTTAATTGCGAACGCTTCCTTTATATTGATTTGGTAATCAGTACATAGCAGGTTTTAGACTGCCCGGTAGCTACGTCGAAACGAACGAAATAGACAGCAAGCGAATAGAATGGTCAAAAGCTGAAAACGTAAATATGAAATAAATAAAAATTTCTTATAGTTTACAAAAAAGAAAATTATTTTTTACCTGTATGCCCGCTACACCAAGTACCACACCAGCCAATGTTAACGTTTTAGAATCAAGGAATGTAAGTAGTTTGTTGAGACAACCTTCCGTGTGGGCATGAACAACTGTACAGTCTTGAGCTTCGTTCAAATTAATAATAGTACAACATGCTGGTGGTAAAGAGTTATTGTGGAATATTGGTTCCCAATCCTTTGGACCAAATGTGCCGCAACAGTCCATCTAGCGCAACATTTCAAACGAAAAAGAAAATTAGTCATCAATAAATAAGAAGTTTATAATAAAAGCGAGGCACTGATAAACTGCGTATTTTTATTTTCTATAAGCATTTTTTCCATACCAAAATTTTAATTTATTTATCAGGTTTTAACTTTTGTTGCTACATAGAACTTTTGACATACATAAATATATATGTTGGCTCAAATGATCTGAAGTCATCTTTATCAGTCATCTAACACAATAACCCTACGCATACATATCTACCTTTCAAGCACACAAAATCATATATTAACTTTTATTCCAAATAGAGATCTGCGTCAGCGCGTAATTAAATAAAAAAAATTTATACCGATAGGGTCAGGATTACGAATAGCTTTTTTTCCGTCTGTTTGTACGCAAACTAGTCAAACAAATTTATACCGATAGGGTCAGGATTACGAGTAGCTTTTTCCGTCCGTCTGTTTGTACGCAAACTAGTCAAACAAACTTCGTACACAGATGCTCTGACACATTCAAACGATTATTTACGAAGCTGATCAGACCACATCAGACCAATAATAGTTTATAGTTTATGCTCCATACAACCGATTTGTTCGCAACGGTTATTTTGAGTCATAAAAACTTCAATAAAACATCTAAGAGGGTGAATTTGATATTCTGCACGCATATGATGAATTACCCACCGGTGCTAAAAGTTATTGAAACCGAAAGACTCATATAACCCCCATACAACCGTATTCTTCAGATGTGAGGTTACTGGTAAAAAAAAATCGCTAAAAAATCACATACTCTATATACGTTACTACAAATAAACATTTTCACCAAAAATATTCGAAATTGGAGTACTATATCATAATGTTACGATATAACCATAATGTCAGATGTGAGGATTTAGGTTAAAAATCCATCAAAAATAGTTATATTTGGTATACTACACACACGTATACAAATAAATATTGTCACCAAAAATCATCAAAAAGGACTATATGATAATGTTTTCAAGGGTGCGATTTCGTATTCTACACACGTATATCCAAATGAAAATTTCCATCGAAAATAAACCGAAATCTTTAACGTAATCGTTTCCTGAAATCAATTTTTGAAATATGAGAATTAAATACCGTAAATTTGGTATGCTCGTGAAAGGTACAAAGAATTCGGCTTGGCCGAAAACAGCTCTTATTAAACGTAATACATATGTATGTTTGTATGTACACATACCTCACTTTGCAAAAGTGACCAAGCATCGCGATTTTCTTTGCGTTCATTATATTCTTTCATTGTAGAATTGAATTGACCCTCCATAATTTCACTTAAGGCGGCATGTTTCAAATAACCAGCAACGCCTAAACCAATTTCGAAGAAGAATATAATAACCGCCAAAATAGCAAATGACAATATCATGCAACTATTCTCTTTTAATGCGCCACAACAGCCAAGAAAACAAATGAACGCTATAATTGCGCCAACAATTATCAAAATTATGGGCACAGTCCAGATGTGATCACTAACGAAATTTGAATAGTGTGCATAATTCAGCTGCACCATGGCGCCAACAATCAAAATAAGCAAGCCACTTAACTGAAATAAAAAAATTTTAAAAATTAAAACGAGTTTTTGAGATTATTATATTATTAAAATTAAATACTCACAGCAAAAAGTAAATTACAAAAAAATGTAATGAACTTTACACACGTTAAGCCTCCAGAAGCCATTTTGCTTTATTTTCGTTTGTTTGCACTTTAGCTTTAACTGTAAATATTGAAAAAAAAAAAAAAATAAACATACTTATATTAAAATTCTAAAATGTTTACTTTAGTATGGTAAATACTACGCAAGCGTTCGTATTTTCCAATATTTATAAAATACATACGTACATTAGATATATGACGAAAAATTCCGTTAAATATATCACAAATGACCGTTCGCGAAAGGGTTTTATTTACATCTGCTACGCTTTGCATTTAATCAAACATCTAATTGTCCAAGTATATGGCATACAACTACAATAATATAATATTTGTGTGAGTTCGTAGCACATAGCACGTACATATGTAAATGCCACCTTTGGTGAGGCAAGCGTAAGTTATTGTCTGCCACCTGCAACCACGCATGCAACTAGACTTTCAGACGAGTGCTTTGTACACTTTTTTGTCGATATACATATGTACATATGAGACCACATATGTATGTGTGTGAAAGACAAACAGAAAAAAAGGCAGCCAAATGTGGCAGTGGTCAATATAGTGGAAACACAATGAACCAAATCAAATAATAAATCAATAATATAATACCGTTGCGGTGTACAATATCCACCCTGAACCTGTCGACCCCATTGTACAATAAAATTACATCCACCATGTCTGCCGCTTGTTGGTTGCCCACCCAACGCAAACCAGTCTGCAATGAAGTGAAAGTGTTAAAGCGTCTGTATGCAAAATTCCTCGAGTCAACTGCATAAATTCATGTTGGAATGAGCGTGACGATCTGATGAATGACGGATAAATTTTGCGGTACAATTGGAGCTGTGTCCACATACTCTATGGCAGGTTTTGAAATAAGGTCTTGGTTTGCAGGTTTCCAAAATCTAACTCATGCAAATATGACAGCCAAACGATCATCAAGAGAGCTGCACGTGCGGTAGTGTGTTCAAAAGATTCTGATTTTTCACAAGAAAAATTTGTTCAGCATTAAACTTTATTTACTGAAGGAAACCTTTGGTGCGCCTAATATGTCTCCCCTGGACAATTATTATTGTAGGGTTACATTTTATTATGAGGTTAAAAAGCTTCCGTTAGATTAAAGTTGATAAGTGTGTTCTCAAATAGAATGAGAATTGCCAGCTGCAACAATTTTTTTTGCCTAACTCAACTGTTCTATATTTTCTGTGTCTTTAATTATTCAGTTATCAAAGCTTTTTCTAAATTTGTACAGGCGTAGAAATAGTGTGGACGTTAGAGCCATTATCTGGCTAACCGCTAGAAAGCAATTATTGGCAAATGACATGACCCAATTTATATAAAATCGATAAATTTATGTACACCCGATAGAATTGTCTAATTTGTTCATACATTCATACATATACCAGCGCCTACTCGTTTTTGCCTGCATTTTTAACCGCATTTAATTTCAAAACAATTCTAATAAGATTTTTAATTATTTTACGTTATTTATATTTTTAGAATATACAAATTTGATGTCAATATATATGATTATTTGTGAGATATTACAACTTTGTTGAATCCAAACATCAAACAAAAAAAAAACGAAACATAAACGCAATTTCTTAGAATATATTAGTCCGAGGTCCAATTCCCGAAATAAAAGTTTTCCACCTCTTAACCTTGATAATGAATGTGCTAACTATATTCCAAATATCACTTTTTGAAAATAAAAAATGTTCACATATCAATTTAGGCCCAAGTTACCTCTATGCCAAATTATGTGTTAATCAAACGATAAACTTAATTGCTTCGAATATATCGATTTCTGGCCCATTTCCGGTAGTAAAGGTGTGCGGCATATTAATTTAGGCACAGCTATGCACCAAATTTTATGTTTTGCGATACAGGAGCAAATTTCCTTATAAAATTTTTGGAAAATATTGTTACATATATAGAGGCATATATCAGAGCCGAGTTTTAAAAATTCAATATATACATCCTTCCTGTTACAAGTTGCCCAGCTGGATAGGTGCGCTACTCAGAGACGAAAACTTTTTGGTTTTAGGTGACTCTAAGTGCTTCTCGATATTTGGCATTCTAGCCTGCCAAAAGACCGTAGAGTGATGGAGCTGACTGAACAGATAAACGATTCGACATTCTACGCCATGAACGAGGACGCACCCTCCAGAGTTGTGGGTAATTGCCGAAGCTCGCCAGATATAACAATTGTTAGTGCTGGTTTCATAAACAGCGACCTCTGCTGACGTTAGCATGGGACCACTTACCTATACTAATCTCGATTGGGCGGCATCGCCGGACTTTGTTTCCACGAACCACCGAACATTCGTTAACTTCAAAAAAAAAAAAAAAAAAAGCTAAGATCAGGGAGTCATCGGGAAGACAAAAGCCTCCAAATCCGTCGACCCTGACGGAATAAGCATGCTAATGCTAAAACATACCAGCATGAACTTTTGAATTAAATTTTTTTTTTACGTTGGCTATTAATTAATTAACACAAATTTTCTATCCATTAACCGAATACAGTTGCGGTCAAAATCTTAGTAGTGATTTTACTAATTAAATATAAGTCGTTATAAATTTGTATTTCATACTTTTTACGCTTTCACTGTAAATACCGTTAGGTTAAGGCACCGACATGACAATGAATATCGTTTCTTAAGCTATAATTATTGTTGTTATTGCAATCGGCTAAGTTTTGAGGCAAATGTGGTTTTGTCATTATCTTAGTAGCGCAACAAAGAATAGTTCAAAAAAATTAAATTATTTTTGTTTTTGGAACTAAAAAATTAAAGAATCGATAAGAACTATTTCTGTTATCAGTATTCTGTTTGTGATGTCATGAAAAAATAATTTTAAACTGGAAATACGGTCTTTTATTAAACAACTGATTGGCGAAGAAAAAACTACAGAGAAGTGCAAAACATTATTGGTTGCACACCCACGATAGTCTGAAACGCTATAAAATAAAAAAGTGCCTTTGCTGACTAAACAGCATGTTGTCAAACGATTACGTTTCGCCAAAGACCATTTGACTTGGTCTTTGACCAAATAGCGTAACATTTTATGGTCTGACGAGTCAAAAATTGTTCGCTATGGTGAAAAAGGTTCAAGACAGTTTGTAAGACGTCCACCCACTTAATGCAAAATATACCACTAAAACGGTAATACATGGTGGATCCAGCATTATAGTTTGGACATGCTTTTCGTGGTATGGAACTGGACCCATTCATTGGATCAAGGAGACCATAAATGCTGCCCAATGCTACCATATGCTAGCGAGGAAATGCCACCGATTTGGACCTTTCAACAGGACAACGAAAATTTGTGGGCTGATGTAAAGAAATCGGTGTTTGACTGTTATCCTACAAATAATTTGCAGTTATGGGAGTCCCCAGTATAAACTGCTTGAAACTCAATTCCAATTGAAACGTGCCAAAATCTGGTGAACTCAATGCAATGTTGATACAAATAAAAACTAAATTAATGTATAATAAGTTGTTAATTGATAGCTAATTAAAAAAAACATCTAATTCAACCTAAATAAAAAATGCTTTAAAATATACCCTATACTACTATGATTTTGGCCGCTTAAAAGCTTAGATTTTCGAAAAAAGTATTATTATTTTTGTTTTTAATAACCAAGTTCTCCAGTTTTTTTAATTAGCTTTAATTACTCTTTTAACTATTAAAAAATATAAATTAAACTGGTTTTGGTAAGCAAATACATAATTTTTTTCAACTGAATTTAGTGCTTCTCCGCGCTACTAAGGTGACTGCAGCTGTATATTTAATAAGCAAAATCGCTACTAAGATTTTGTCCGCAACTGTATGTACATATATGTAAAAAAAATATAATAATAATAAGTACAAACATTTACACAAACTCCTCTACACACATATGTATCACCGAATATTTTTACCACGAAGAATTTGAACATAGGCAGACTACTGACCTCTTTTAATTAGATAGTTCAATTAAATTAGACCGAAGTCTGATCTTTTCATTGAAAGAAATTGTATTAGGTTAATTCAAATTTTAGTGAATAGAAGCCTATTTCGGTAAAAAAAAATAATATTTCATTGGTAACATATTATATATGAAGTTTACGCGATTATAATAGAGTTAATAACAGTAAGACATTGATTCCTTCTTTTCGCTGCTTGACGCCAATTGGACGTACCAAGCTCAGTCCGGTTCTTCTCCACTTGATCTTTGATCTCTCCAACGGAGCGTAGATTTATTTTTTTCTCTGTGTTTGGTACACAGTGTCATAGATAAACAGCGCTATCAAAGAGAATGTAACATCTCTTTCATTTTCACCGGCTGTTTTCCCGCTTACATGCACAAAAAATATAAAATATTTTGAATTATAATCCATAAAACTGTAGGTATAACTAAATTTCGTGCGAAAATTTGTCCGGTACAGTTTTACCGCATTTAACGCTGGCAGTTTCATGCAAAGGAATTTTTTTAATTCCCTAAATTTTCTTAACTAAGATCCCCACGATAAATGCATTGCATAGATACATTGATACATATGTGCATACACATATTATGTTTGAACACAAGTGGAGTTTTGTTTTGTCCACATAACGCAAAATTTCTGCACTAACAAATACTCTGCCAAAAATTTGTAGATCATATGGTCTCCTGAAGTAATCCAAATGTTACTCCTCTGTAGGTATTTTTGGATCAACTCACATTTCGTTACTAGTTATACGGCACGACCATTCTTCGTGTTTTGCCGGCCCTAATCCACTATACCATCTTTAATATACACTGAGTTGTCAAAGTAAACAAAATAAAAACTAAATAAAAAATTTAACAACATAATTTTAATGCAAAGTACAATATTATGATAATAAATAAGCGGATATTAACTTTAAAAATTAATAGTATAGCAAAAAATGCCAAAATATGTACATATATATATATATATATATATATATGTTTAAAGTTTCCTCAATCATAACATTCTCCTGTACTGCATATCTGCCACAAACAAAAATCTTTGCTCTTTGCAATGTTTTTAAGTTTTATTAAAATTAAACAACCACAACTCGCACAAGAGCGTATAGAGAATTTATTTAGACGCACAATACATACACACATATATACCGCATAAATATCCGAGTTCATTTAAAGGTGCATCCTTTTAATCACAAAAGTATACAATACCAAAGGAGAAACAAATTTAGTTTAAATGTATTTTTGATATTTTTTTAAATCGTATTTACAAATATCTTTCCACAATTTTTTACAATGTTGTTATTGCCACTGTTTCTACAGATTTAACTTGGCTATTGCCTTTCAACGACAAAATAGAAATAAATAAATGGATTGAAGTGCAAAATGCGCGAGTAAGAAAAGGTAGCAACAACACTTTTGAAAAGATGCAGCCAGAGAACTTATAATAACGAGAAGCACCAGGATGTGCCGATTATCAAATTGGTCCGCTGGCTCGTGTTATGAAAGCGTATTTCAACACACAAATCTGAAAGCGTATTTCACCGCACTCTAACAGTGAGCAGATGCAGCCGCGTGGTTGCCAAGAGTTTATGCATGACACCATTAAATAAATAAATGTTCACAAATATTTTTAGAAAAATCCAACATTTTGGTAAACTGTTTGGGACAAATACAGAATTATTGTACAAAATCTCTAATACTCATTAGTTTTATGCGAGAAATTTTTTGATTTCTGTATTATTTAAAAAAAATTAAAATTTTTGTTTCTATTTGTTTTAAGATATAAGAACCTCTAACTGATGATTAAAACCAAAACCTTAACCTTAACCTTAACCTCAATAAATTGTTCGTAGTTCGGCATCTTGACTGTCACTACTCTAATTATCAAAAAGTGGTCATAAATTGAATGGGATTAGTTACCTACGAATGTCTTTTAGTAAGGTAGGATAATAATTTTTTCGAATGTCTGATCGAAAGTAGCAGAAGCCGTCAAACATCTTATATTTTCGTCGTTCTTTGTGTACGTTTTTAGTTTAAAAATAAAAAGAACCTCATATTAAAAATTGACTTGTTTACTCGTAAAATAAAAATTTATAACATTATCATTCATTTAAGTTCGCCTTCATTGATTTGTAGTTCAATCTGGCCAATCTATCGAGTCCAATGCGCAATTAAAATTATGTTTGTGGACGGACGGAACGAAATTACTCAACTAAACCGAACCTGGCAGCCTTTTTGAGAGAAAAATAGTGTCATAAGCGAGAGCGATTACCGGCAAATAAAGTACAAAGTCAATTTAATGTTTACGAAGAAATGTACGCTTGTATAATGTCTTAACGAATGTAAGTTTCACACACATATATATTTACAATAAGGAAAACAAATAAGTTCGATATTTAAGGCAGAGCAATTATTTTCCTGTATTTGTGTTCACATGACTTATGTACATACTCGTATGTACATATAAGCGGACTCCTTTTCACCGCTCATAACACATAATGTGAGAGATGCCGAAACATAACAGATTTCTTTGATAAAACGGGACAGAAATACACAAATAAAGTGGTAACGGCACCAGAGTTGTTACTTTACTGTTAAGGCGAATTCATTTTTGGTGAAAGCCGGAGTAATAAGTACGTATTTCGCCGCAGTATAGTTCTTGATTAGTTTTGTAGAAATGTGTGCTTTTGCAATTGCAGAAAAAATTGCAGTTTGTGACTTCATTCATATACATGTCTCCAACTAGGTTTCTGAAAATAAATTTCCAATTGCTAGTTTCGTGTTCTCTCAGCTGTCAATACACATGCCATCATACACTTTTTGGAAAACTTTTTTCCCGTTAACTCTTAATGCCGACTCAACGGCGAACCGCTACAATAATAACAATAACAACTCATCGGCCGCTCTGCACCACCCTGCGGGTTAGGGGTTCCAGAATTTACCCTCGGTAAGGTATGTCTGTCGTAAGAGACGACTAAAATCCAATAGTTCCCGCGACAGTCGGGTCTTTATACCGGAACGATCCGACCCGAATATTTTATTCGGCCAAGAACTGTCACTCCTGCAACATTCCCCAAAAATTACTTTCAGGAATATTTTTGCGATCACAACAACAACAACAACAACAACAACGGAAAAGATGAGCGACTTGTAGAGTTTGAATTTTGTTTGCCGATATAGGACTTTGTTGTTGTTGTTATTATAGCGGTTCACTAACCCCGCTTAGGCACAGGTTTGATCAGTCTAAGTCGCCGAGGCCATCTAATGGTAGGTCCGGGTCGGTAAATTCCGAGAATCCGGGCTAGTTAGCTTTTTTAAAGTTAACAAATGTCCGGTGGTTCGCGGAAATAAAGTCGGGAGGCCTGTCAATCGATATTTGTATGGGCAAGTGGTCCGATGGTAATGTCAGTATAGGTCGCCAGACTATACTGTTTATCAGACCAGCACTCGCAATTGTTATGTCTGGCGAGCTTTGGCAATTACCCATAACTCTGGTGGGAGTGTTATCGTTCATTGTGCAGAATGTCGAATCGTCTATCTGTTCTGCCAGCTCCATTCCTCTACGGTCATTTGACAGGCTAGAATGCCAAAGATCGTGATGCGCGTTCATGTCGCCCAAAACCAAACGGTTTTCGCCTCTGAATAGCGCACCTATATCAGGGGTATATCCAGCTGGGCAACTTGTAACTGGGGAAAAGTATATATTGAATATTTCGAGCTCGACATCGCCTGACCGGATAGCTATGCCCTGACATTCTAGGGTAGTATCCCTGCGGTCGATGTCGCCATCGATAAGACGATACTGCACGGTGTTGTGCAGGATGAACGCTAAACCCTCACCGTGATCTCGCTCGCGATCCTTGCGGATTATGTTGTATCCGGTCCGGCTCAGAAGATCTGATCGGGCGGTCAACTTGGTTTCCTGGATCGCAGCAATTGACAGGTGCTCTCGGCTCATGTAGTCGACTATCTCGTCAATCTTTCCCTGGAGTCCGTTACAGTTAAATTGTAAGAGTCGGGTCTGTCTCGGGGGAACGTTCGAGATATGGGGGGTGAGGGAGTGATGCGTGGATGGTGTGTGTTGCTGCTGTACTATTCGTGAGAGCTGGTTCCGCACGTTGGTGTTAGTTGGCTGAGGGTTTGTCGAAACATGCGAGAGCAGACTCCTACACCACGGGCAACATACGCATTGCTCCACTCACGGGTGGTGCGCAGGCCAGAGCACGTCCGAAAGTGACACCAGCCAGAGTAAAGGTTGCATCTAACTGAGGTCGCGTTCCGACGCACTATGGTCTGAGACACGGAACAGACAGTGCGGGGGACTAGGAGCTGCTGGGTAGCCCTCGCACGGGGGGAGGATGAGGAGCTGGTTGTGGGTGGGGATGGGGGTGGAGGTTGGAGGGTTGATGCCGGTGAGAACATAAACATGAACGGCGACCGTTATCGCGCCATGCTACTACTACTATTTGACGCCTAAAATTGAAGCTAGTGATATCGGCGACATTTGATTTCAGCAAGACGGCGCCAGTTTCGGCACATCGCATCAATCAATGGATTTATTGAGAGAACATTTCGGTGAGTAGATAATTTCACGTTTCGGGCCGGTCGATTGACCACCAAAATCGTGTGATATCACACCGTTAGACTTTTCCATGTGGGGATATGTAAAGTCTAAACTCTATGCGGACAATTCGTCTTCGATTCAGGCCATGGAGAAATATATGCTCCAACGCGTCATCGAAAATTAAACTCAACAGATGGACAATCTGAGATGTAGTCGCGGCCAACATTTGAAAGAGATATTCTAGCCAGAAAATGTTTTTTCGAATGATAAATTTGAATATTCTGAGTTTAAAATAGTCTTTAAAATAGTAGGGAAGTTCGAAAAGGATCACCCTTTATAATTTTGTAAGCAAGTTAATGAATAAATAGTCAGTCCTTGTAAGTCTGGCGTTTAAAATAAGAATATGATTTTTTTGAATTGCTTTGGTGTAATTTTCTCTTTAACTTAACAGAAAGAAAGTTCCATAAACGACCAATTTTGACAAAGAACTGCCTAGTTGATTGTCACCTTTTAGCCATTAAAATATCAGGTGTACAACTTTGCTTCCGCCGTTTTCCGATAGGTGGCTGTACCGGCTGAGGCTGGTTGAAATACATAGATGATAATGCCTTTAAAGTGAGTGTGGACAGTGCCTAACGAATTGTCATCACCGTTTCAGTGACAGTTGTTCTTGTTTTCGTATTATACACGCTCGAAAATGTCCGTCTCGCCATTTGCGGGAAGTTTTACTTTTCTGTTACAATTCGAAGCTCAAGCGCATCGAATGCTCTCAGAAACTTACGGTGATGCTGCTCTGAGTGAAAGAACGTGTCGGCCTCACGTCGCAGAAGTGGTCAAAAAGTACATGGAAACGCTGAAATGGTAATCTTGCCCCACCCGCCGTATTCCCCAGATGTTGCCCCTTCTGACTTCCGACTATTCCGTTCGTTGGCACACGGCCTGGCAGATCAACATTTTCAATCCTTCGAAGAATTGGAAAAATGGATTGCTTCATGGATAGCGTCAAAAGAGGACTCCTCTTTTCGAGCTGGGATCCGAAAATTGCCGGAAAGATGGGAGAAAGTTGTCGCTAGCGAAGGACAATACGTTGAATAATATATCTGTAAACACTTTTTCGCAATAAATATTTTAATTTGAAAAAAAAAAACGGCGGAAGCAAAGTTGGACACCTGATATTAGACACCCTAGTGGACTTAGTTAAAGATAGTTAGTTATAAAGAGTTTGAAATACAAAGAGCTTATAAAACAATAATACAATTTCTGGCCTTATGATAGTCAACAATCATACATCCTAACACTTCGTATCTCCAAGACGAAATGAAAAGAATATACACATACAGAGTGTCATAGAAAACAACAATTTTGTGTGAAAATGAACCACCAGAGTTTTTTCATTTTCATAGTCACTGCAAAATCAGAATTGTAAAATGTCTGGGAATGTCTGAACTAGACCAACTCGAAATAAAAGAAAAGTCAGTATTGATAGTATAATACTACAGAGCTGATCTGCACGACCAAGATCACTAGGGCAGAATACCAATAGCGTTGGACAGTTTGAGATTTTAGATATACTAATAATAATATTATCAATGAAAATGATGAAAGCAAAAGACCAGGGATAGAAATTTTACACCAGTTGATTCCTCCCATCTAAATAGCTGATATTTTTTTATTAATATTTAATAAATTCATATAAGCCAATTGGTAACAATACATAGATATGTATGTATGTTTACAATTTTTTTTATTCACCTTAAACACATGTTGGGAATTACGGTAACACATATTGTTCGTCTGAGTTTTATTTGAATTTGAAATATCTATAAATTTATGAACTGCTAAATACAAAGCAATCAGAAATATGTATTAAACAATAGTATTACGTACAACCATACATCCTCTCTCTACCCTTCTATATTACGATATTACGCATACATACACTCATAAGTATATATGTGGTCGAATAATCTATGAATGATGGCGATTATGTCCTTAACTTTAAG